AAGTATCCTAACCAAAATTAATCCTTGATGATCCTAAACAATAAAATGGTCATGGCCCTCAATGCTGACTACTCCCTGTCCTAAACCTGACAAAGTGACAACAGTCTCCCAATAACATTTTGGGGGTTCCTTGCTCCCAGACACATGCAGGATTAGGTCACCTGAACAACTGACTAACTAGTTATTTCTTCAACCCTTCACAAAAATATCAAACGGTCAGATACCACCAGATTGAAATCCGTACTCTAAAAATGGCATACATATGCACAATAATATCAGATACCTTTCATCACAATACACGTCATAGATATCGAGGGATGGGGGGGACAATGCAGGAAAATGGCACTGAGGTAGATCACCTGCTGAAGTGGAGCAGGCTTGAGGGGATAAAATGATCTACTCTTGCTCCAATTCTCATTGTTTGCATGTATTTCCAATAGAGGGGACAGGATCTTTGTAGGCACCCTACCAAACCTTTCCACCTTTAAACACTTTGATCAAATCATCCCCTTGGCCTCTGGCTGGCTGGGGGGGAATTAAAATCTGACACCACCCGTTACCGTAAGTCTAGATTTCCAAGCTAAACACAGACAAGGTAGGAACAGTAAGCGGCTTTTGTCTATCCCCACCTTCACTAAACAGTATCCCTGTGAATAGTCAGAGGAAAATCAAGTGGACTAAATTAATCTGCACAAACAGAGGAGAGAGAATAAGCTGATTTGAAACTTGCTGAAAATTTCCCAGACTGGCAACAAATGTCTTCATTCATCTGAACATGGTTGAAAAGGATGCCATTGATCATTTGGGTTGCTCTATTGAAGCAGGAATATGGAACATGTTTGAGTCATATTAAATATTTATTTAAAAACAAACTTAGTGTTAGTACAGTGAAAATAAACCAGGAATAGGAGGTTGAATTTGTCCTTTTTTCCCTCAGCTCTACAGGAACCACAGCAAAGTAATAGCATGGAAATTGGGTTATTCCCAAGAATGGAATTTGAGTATCGGTGCACTGATGATGCAGAGAAACAGGGATCCTTCTTTTTCTTTAATGAAAGGAATCTTCACGCCTCTCAACAAGTTGAGGAGACCTGAGCAAAGATACCAAAGTCACATCTTAAGTCCTCTGTTTGGTCTAGAAGAGATTTTGGAATTAATTTATGTTAGACTGTCTGGAAATTAAATATGGTTTGAATAAAGTTACACACAAGCTATTCAGGGTGTCAACTCAGATATTCAGCCACAAGGTAAAATCTACACAGCGTGTTATCATTTTTGGTGTAATGAGGGATAATAGATAAATTTCATTATAAAAACAATTCATTCATGTATTTCATGTAAAACAGATCTGTTTGCCAATTCACAATTGGCCTCATGTTGCTCGAGTGCTCCACCCCCTGGGAGATGGGCGACCTGCACATAATGGCAATTCCTGCAGTTGAGAATCCAACATCTATGTAAGGTTGAGGATCTCACTGTCGTGGCTTCATACTGCCACTAAGCTAAATATCATACACTGAAGGGAAACTTGATTACATGGTCCGCTCTAGAGAATGTGACAATATTGAAATGCAAAATCCAAAGTTTACCAATTGAAGAATGGCAAGGTATTCTTTGAAGACACTCAAATGGGATCCATTTGCCTGCAGATTACTCTAAAATTCTTTTTTTAATGTCAGCCAAAGAGTCTGTCAACCACAGAGATGGTAACACAGGTATTGAAGATACCCTTGTTCAGAGCAGCAATGCTGTAATAAAAAGGTCCCAGCAAATATTGTGCTTGATGAACTGCAGGTCTTTGTTTCTCATCTTTTCTTGAACTTAAAATAGTCTTCCATCTTTGCAATTCCTTCCGTAACCTCATTTCTCCACATCCCTGTAAATCCCAACAATCCATTTATAATCAAACTCCACATTCCTCCAATTTGGCTTCTTGCGATCCTCAATTTTGTTAATTGGTGGCTGTGCCTTCAGCACTGGAATCCTAAACCTCTCTGCTCTCTCTTCCTTCAAGATGCTCCCCTTACAATCCACCTCTTTCATTGTTGCTTTTGTTCACCTATCCTAGGTACCCAACCTCTGGCACAGTGTTCAATTCTGTTCAATAATGCAATGCCTTGGGAAACTTCAACTCATTCAATGTCATGTATAAATTCAAGTTTTGTCGCCCCATGCTTACTGAGACTAGAAATTAGACACTGCTCTGGTCAGTAGAGCAAAGACAACAAACCTACAAAATAAGATATCTGGGGGCTCCATCTTACTGTCTGCAAGGGCCGAGTTTGTTCTTCGACTGTGTGTACGGGGATGCCCAGTTCAGTTTTATGCAAAGCATGGTTGCAGCAGACCCCTAATCTGATTCACCAATCCAGTGTGCAGACAGCAAGGGAGGAACCCAACATGTGCATAGGACAGGATTATATCAGCCATTGGATTGGTCAGTTGGTCACAGCTCCAAAGAAAAGTCACCAGACTTGATACCTTAACTCCATTTCTTTCTCCACAGATGCTGGCAAATCTGCTGTTTTTCTCCAACAGATAGTAGGAACTGCAGATGCTGGAGAAAAACAGAGATAACAAGGTGTAGAGCTGGATGAACACAGCAGGCCAAGCAG